TCCAAACACTCTGCAAGTTTCGCAAAAATCCCATGCGGAGTTGATTTTTACGTTCTTTGTGAATGTGGAAGTAAATACTGACATCCTCATGCAACTGCATCTTATCCAATTAAAATTCATAGCTTCCGATCTAGAGCGAGTAGCCACTCATTCTCACAGTTAATAGAAAAATCTTGAACGCAGATCCAAAATCTAGCAAACTGTTCGGAACCCTTCAACGTCCGGCCTAAATTGCAGGCAAAAAGTCACAAATAGCGGATGAAAAGAAACTGGGTTATAGTAGTTAAGGATCTGCTAACAGTTTATCCGAGAGTTAGTAGTTTACCCTAGAGATATCTAAATGCGTCAAAGTTTCCGATAAAAACAGGGGTTATTCGGCGTTTATTGTTTTCTTTGTTCACTAAATTAGCTCGAACCAGGGTGAACATTCCAGATTATCGCAGATTCATTGATATTTATGGACGCTTGCCGAAGGACCAACAAGAGAACGGTTTAGCTGCAAGCACTTGGATTAATAGGCAGAATCGCGGTTTCTTGTTCGATGCAGGCCATAAAATGCAAATTTCCTGCAGCTAAACTGTTCAACATATCAAAATAAACGGCCGCAATAAGAACAAAGCACCATAAACAGGATAAATATGACTTGAGAAAAATAAATTTTTATGAGCTAAGAGGTCAGCCCCTGAGGGACACTTGAGTGCATCTTAAATTCCCAATTCCTTTACCCAAAGCACGCAATGTTGCTGAATTTACGGTAACTACTGGGGTTACCGCTAAGGAGTCGTATCCTGTTGCGAGAAATATCCGGGAAAATATCTGCAGGAAACGGGAAACTTATGAAGGTTGGGCACATGAAGTTTAATTTTGAAACAGCCCAGTGTCCCATTGGGGAGATTCGATGGGTGCTTGCAGGATATTGAAAATGTTACTTTCAACTGAATAATTCAACAAGTGGATAATCATCCACTTGCTCCGGAGGATATTTTCCTGTCGAATGAATAATGGTGACAACCAGGTGGAAAAGCATTTAATTCAATTATCGTTACAGCTAATGAGAAAGGTGTGAAACTATTCCGCCGGTTTCTATTCTCGGAACAATTAAAAATCTCACATATGCGTGAGTCGTTAATTCTGCACAAATCGCATCGATACGTTTAACATTCAAAGTTGTTAATTAATTCGCTTATGAAGTCGAATCGGGTGACAAAATGGTAATCAGATAGTGGGAGTCACTTTGAACAGTGTAACAGGCGCAAATTTGCATTGCAGATGGCAATAAACCAGAGAGGAAAATCTATACCGAGCAAGTTTTGGCAAGCGATCGAAGGCATAAACCACCGAAAAAAAATAATGTTGAGCTTCTGCTGGAACAACCATAAGTAAAATGTTTCAAAAACTCAAGTAAATGTTCCTTCGGATGGCACCCAATGATCAAATTGCTTAAACCGAAAGATAAAAACGGCTGAAACTGGATCGGCTTCACTTTAAACGGGTTGCCCCTCGGCCAGGGAGGAAAGTGCCTCATTTCTAGCAGCCACCCCTTTAACGGGCACCCCTAAACTCCATCATGTGGCGTCATTAATCTTTAACCGTTCGAATAAGCTCAGGAATTTCAGCGTGGACTTCAATGATGGAAGGATTTTTAATAATGGCAATTTAGCCGAAATTCTATGCCGATTTTACTAGGAAAAGTTGCTGATTTTTTATTTGCAAGCTGAATAGAAGCCAAGAATGGCATCAACAATTGAGTTGAAGAAATAAAAAAAATAAGGTTCCATTGAAATACTTTTTGCCACAGTTATAGAGAAATTCATGTTTTATAAAATGATGAAATCGGTATTGAAGTATAATGAACTGTTTGGGTGGCATTCGGTTCGAAAACATGGCTGGCACTCAGCAAAAAGTGGAACAACTGAATTGAGCGCATTTAGAAAATCGTCAAAAATTGCCCTAAAGTCCATTTTGAATAATGTTTTCCACAGTTATAGAGAAATTAACGCTCTATCGAATGGTGCAAGCTGCAAAACCACATAGTCGATAGTTTCGGCGTTATGCGCCACAAAAGCAGAGCATGCACTTTTCAACGTGTCAAGCAACTGAGTTGGGCGAGTTTCAAAAATCCTCAGGTTGTCGCCGAAAGACAAATGTGAATAATTTATGCAACATTTATAGAGAAATTAACCGTTCATTGATTGGTCAAATCTGTATTCTAATGCAAAGAATAGTTTTCGCGTTATGAGCTGCGAAAACATCGCTTGCACTAATG